CTTCTGAAATACCTCTCAGAAAACAAGCAATAATTCACATGACGGGCAGGAAAGAGAAATACATATCAACTGCCCTAAACAAACATGTTTATTTAACTTGGGCATTTACAAATTAAACCCTGTTGTCCGTCTTAGCCAGTGCCCCGTACCTGTCATTACCTCTGATTTCGTTCAATTAGTTCACTAATCTTGTCATTCTGTTCTTCTATCCGACTGCTCTTTTCAAGGATCTCTTGCTTCAATCTTTCATTTTCCTAAATTCAAAATATATGATGTATAACTTAAGTTTTTAAGAGAAAAGTGCCAGATAAAAGGGAATCAACTTGAACTGACAGGTGACATTGTTACATATTTTGAGACAAAAAATTAGAACTTAGGTTCGCACAGATATAATACTTAAAATAACACATCAAATTATCCCGATGGACACAAATCACTATGCCCAATAGATTAAACAGAAAAATGGCTATAAAATGAAGCAAAATTCTGAAATATTGTCAAAAAGAAATGTTTCCTTCTGACTAGACAGTGATAAGTCACTTGGACCAAATTAAGCCATAACGGATTTTCTAGAATTTCCCAACTCAGTGTAGCATTTATCACATGCTCTCCGTTTTAGGAGTGGAGGTTTTAAAGGGTGCACATATCGGGAGAGAGCAGGGGCAAGACCTCCAGCCTGAGTGTTCTGTTCTTGATCCCTCTCACCTGAATAATTCGTTGGATGTTGCTCATAATCATGCTTGTTTCCATTGTAACTGACATGCTAGGAATGAGCAGGGAATTGCCAGCACTATGCTTCTGTAACTCATCAACCTGCAACGGGGGTGCCAGACAGACTTTGTGAGAAATTTTTAAATGGAGAAATGTAATTTACCCAAGATCTGACTACCTGTTTAAGGCGGCTAATGAGTTTGAGACAATCTCTAATGTAAGCTAGAGTTTTCTTCTGCTAACTGGATCCCAATATAATAACCACCCTTCTAGGGAAATAACTACTAACTACTATGAATAGTAGTACCAAGAAAGAGTTTACCAAAGCCCTGGTTGCTCCCTGTTTGTACCTCCGATCATACCCCGACTTACATCACAGCCCCAACCCTGACTCAGTCACCTTAGTCATGAGATGATCCATTTTATCTGCCACTTTGCTAACCGCCATTCGAATTTCAGTGTTATGTTGCCGGGCTTCAGTCATGAGAAATGAGGCCACATCACCTGATCCTAAACAGACATAAGCCAAAAAGAAACTTACAAAACTGGGGCAGAGGATATTGTATGAGGAAAGCCAACAGCTCATTTGGCAAAGGAAAGACAGACATGAACATTTCCAAATAGCAGGAAATGCTGTAGGTGATTCACACTGTCAGGAGA